CCCGCCTTCATGCGGATTGCCACAACCGGGGAGCGACCTCTTCATCTATTTTCTTCAACGTCTGTCTAGACTACACTGGGGGCCGTGCACTATTGGTAGAAAGCCGGTACAACCAGCCCAGTGTACGAGCAGGTTGGACGAGATTTGGGGCGGAGGTCTGCATTTACGTGTGTTTCGGCGTTTCTTTGGCGGGGATTTGTACCACGCGTCGGTGTGTATGGGCCACGACGGACGACGAGTCATTTGCAACCCGTTGAGTACGACGAAACCCTTCCATGGCTCATCTGACCTGTCTCCTAGGACTATTCAAGACGGCCACCGTTCTCTTGACGCGGTCTGCATCAAGCTCACCATAGTACGCCTTCTCCTTCAAGATGGCCGCTTCAAGCCCCTCGACAACAACCATTTTACATCAACCATCGAAGCCATTCAAGATTCGGTGCACTCTTTTTCAGAACGAGTGGGTGGTGGGCGGGATTGGTGCACCGAAAGAAGACTTTCAAGTCGATCCAACATTTGGCGGCAGCTTGCTTCAAGTTTCTCCAGCATCAATATTTTTTTTCCTTGCTTTGGGCGTTCGGTGCACCGACACTCTTGAGAACGAGTGGGTGGTGGGTTGGGGCGGTGCACCGAGCGCTCGGTTTTAGTGAGTACGTTCCTCTGAGGTCGTCAATGTGACTGAAATTTACATAGGGTCAAATCCACATTTGATCTGTTTTTTTTTTCCTTTTCGGTCTTTTTGTTCGGTGCACCGACACTCTTGAGAACGAGTGGGTGGTGGGTTAGGGCGGTGTACCGAGTGGTGGTGAGTGCATTCCTTTGAGATCGTCAACCTGTCTCTGGGTTGTTCTTGACTCTGTCGAGTCAAAATCCGCTTTTATTTCTTCTTTTTTTTCGGTGCACCAACACTCTTCAGAACGAGTGGGTGGTGGGTCAGGGTGGTGCACCGAACGCTCGGTGAGTGGGTTCCTCAATGGTTCAAACCTGACTGATTTTTTGCCTTGAGGAGTCTACATTTGATGCTCTCGCGTCATGTAGGCTTCTCAAGGCGCTCCTTGAGCGGTCGGTGCACCCGATTCAACGCTCTATTTGTACTAGTCAAATAAGAGTGGGTGGTGGGTGTGCCAGGTGCACCGAACCTCGACTTCTTGAAGCTGCAGGTCCAGTGAGTTGATTCCTTCTGACATTGCGCCTGACAGTGACTGATATTTCTTCTTGGGCCTCCACTCGCTTTACCGGTATATCGTCGACTTTACACTCGATCGGCCCAACACGTCGCGGCTTTTGTGATCTGAGTGGGTGGTGGGTGAGGTGCATTTCCTAGAGGCCGGAGACTTGTGAATGCCTTCTTGAACCTTCAATGCCGCAGAACTGATTGCACTCCACCAGACCCCAACTACATTTTGAGGGAAGACCTGGCGATCGGGTGATTGGGTGATTGGTCTACATGATTCAAAGATCTTTCTCTACTTCAAGTTCGCGTGGGTGAACGAGGCGATGCATCGTCATGACAGAGTAGCTTGCTCTATTCTTGAAGAATAAACGCAGATGGGATGGGTATGTAGCGCTTAGCTTCGACTCAATGTATGCGAATCAAACTTATACATAAGAAATTTTGGATTCTATGGCGTGATCATCAGTCGAACTCGAATTGAGATACATGTTCAGCGATTGGACCATGCCGGTAATCTACTGTGATCTACTACTACTACTTCGCTGTTATCCCTAGCCGTACCTTTGGTGGATTTGATCGAACTTTCTGTTAAGGCGGGGAAAAGAAACAAGCGAGGAGAAACACGATGACCACCGCAGGGTCCGCTCTCGACTTTCACCGCTACATCATCACTGCCATCTACGAACTAGACATAAACCAGATGGAATAGTTTACTCCATGTCGTTGAAATTCAAAATGTCTACACGAGGAACTTTTTTGGATACTGTGGCGCACTTAGTCGATGTGTTAGCATTTCAATGTCTATTGGTAATTTTCAAACAAAAAAATCGTTGACATGGATATATAAACAACCAGACAAGACAGGTTTACGTGTCCAGGACAGACTGTGCATACATCAGTTTCGGATGTACAGTGCCTTGTCTTCCGTAGTCAGTCAAAAGATCAAATCCCTTAACATGACCACCGCAGGGGTCGAACCTGCAATCTCCTGATAACGAAATCGTAGTCAGACGCGATGCCATTTCGCCAGGCGGCCCATATTTTGGTTTGCCGAGCTAGCGCCACAATGTGCTTCACGGTCGCGTCGATGAAAAATGACCACCGCAGGGGTCGAACCTGCAATCTCCTGATAACGGCAAGTCGTAGTCAGACGCGATGCCATTTCGCCAGGCGGCCTATGATCATCGATGGGTATATTGTCCTACACAAATAAAGCCCTGGCTTTTTCTCCAAACAAGGTCTCTATAATATGCCGCCCTAGACCTTCCAATACACATCTCCATCCATTCTTACGCAATAAGCGATTGAGGGTCACGACGACGTATAATTCTTGAGATTTTTAAGCGTGCGCTGTCAAATGGTGTGTGAATCATGGACATCTGTTGAATGACTCGGGCAGATGCAAAACTGCTGGCATCCTCTACTTTGTATTAATAAAGTGTTAGTATACACCAGTTTGACCCAGGCGATATGCCGAGACTTACCTATGCTCAACTAAGCTTGCTTTGATGTCAAGCTTTACCCTTTCCTTTGGAGGAAGATCTGCACCAGGATTGAAAAGGATTAAGAAGAAGAGCACACTGATATCTCACTGACGATTCTGTGCCAACATTCTTCATGATTGTCAGCTTTCCAGATGATGCGGCCTGAACCATCTGGGACTCGATGGACTTGTTGATTTTCGCAGTAAGATCCTGTGACAGAGAGTAAGAGATGGAATAGAGAATAGGTGAGAGGAGGAGATGAGGCACCCTCTTCATCGCGGCCTGTTTCAAGAGAGTAGGCTTCTTGGGTGCGACTTGACGTTGCCCTTTTTTTGTGTTTGCAGCAGCTTTTCTTGCATGATGAGATGACGCCCCAGCTTTGACCGTAAGACCCTTTGTTTTTCCTTGAACCATGGCGTATGAAGTGATGAGAAAGAGGGCTGAGGTGAAGAATGAAGATGACCCAGAGTGGTGAGCGCTGAGCCGACAAGTAGTTCAAGCCTAAGGTCGATGTCAGTGTTTGCGCGAAACTTTTTTCCACGTGAGCGACAAGCAGTTCCCGCCATCCACCGAACTATCAACACCAGCGTTGGGCATGATTGTCTCAACAGTCAATGCCTTGCGCATTCAGCGCGCCATTAAAGCCTCTGGGAAGGTTCGTTTGTATCTCGAATTCTTGAGATATTTATGTTTAACTCCTCTGCTGTACATTACAGCGTGCGTACCACGACCTTGTTACACTCCCGGGCCAAAAGCCCATTGTCTCGCAAGGAATACCCGGATATAGTGCAGTTAGTGGCCACGTAGTGACGGTTTTTGGATGCACTGGATTCTTGGGCAGGTATCTTGTGTCGAAGTTGGGTAAGTGGTCAATGACTTTTCGATTGTCAACCATTCTCAGGTCACTCTGCAGCAAAATTGGGAACCCAAGTTATCATTCCCTACCGTGACGAGGACGAAGCCCGTATCTTCAAGCCCATGGGTGATCTAGGGCAGATCGTTCGAATGGTGAATTGCCTTACCAGCTTGCGTAAAAATAATGCCCACTAAATTTGGACGCAGGAATGGGACATCCGGAACGAAAATCAAATTGCTGAATGCCTTAGACACTCGGATATCGTGTACAATCTCGCCGGTCGGGACTATGAGACCAAGTATGTTCTTTATAGTTATACATTTCTCACTTATTGACAACCGGGCAACTCAGGAATTTTGACTTCAAGTCCGTACATGTCGACGGTGCAGAGAGGATAGCAAAAATTGCAGCCGAGTCTGGTGTCTCGAGATTTGTCCACGTCTCCCATCTAAATGCGTCAGCCAAGTCTGAGTCCAAGTTCTACCAAACCAAGGCTGAAGGTGAAGAGCGTGTCAAAGCCGCGTTCCCCACGGCAACGATTGTGCGACCTGGAGCAATGTTCGGCTACGAGGACAAGCTCCTCACGAACATGGCAGGTGTGTAATCTACTTTTCATTTCAAAGGACATTGGCTCACGATAAACCGTAGTTTGGCCCATTTGGTGGAAGCTGAACCATGGAGAGACAAAAATACGCCCGGTCCATGTAAGCTTCCCACCTTCGTGACATTCTCTCCGCCTCGACGTGAAAATAATTCTCTTTACAGGTGCTTGACGTAGCACAAGCCCTGGCCAACCTCATGTCGATCCCCCAACTGTCAGGGGCACTTAATCTTCCTGGGCCATCTACACTGACATATGAATATATGCTCAATCTGGTTGACTCAATTACACTTCGTCCTCCTACTCGTGCGCCCGTTCTACCTAAAGCCGTTGCCTCTGCCCTTGCGAAGGCTGCGCAATCAGTATGGTGGCCTGCTCTCAGCCCGGATGAGGTAATCAGGCGCTACATCGACGATGTTGAGGTTAGCGGAGATTGGGCTGCCGTCGGAATGGGTAAGCCATCGGAGGTTGAGGATCACGCTATCACGTACCTTCGTCGCTATCGTTCAGCGTGAGTTGAGGCCAATTTGATTGGGTTTCAATTGCTAACATGTTTGACAGAGAAAACTTTGTGAAGCCAGTCGTCTTCCCCTCGCGGCCGGCTCCTATCACTGTAAGTGCTATGGCACAACAATTATTGTATGTTTAATGCTGATTTTATGACTAGTTGTCCGAGTAGGCAGTAGTGACGGCTTTTTTTTAGTAGACGCAACAAATTCAAATGCATCCAATTCTGGACTTGAGATTTGAAAATATGAGGATCATTACCAAGAACATGGCATAGCGATAGCATAGATAGAATTAAAGAGCAGGGGTAAGCGACAAATCGTAGGCTAGTATTACACAAATACTGGGGAAGAATCTAGTATTTTGTCTCATGGGCAGCGTGAAAGTAACGAGCCCGCCGTGGGTGTGAAAGCTTCGGCTAGAGATGATTTTTTGTCTCCCCGTGGTCATGATTGTCATGAGGTCTAGAAACCAGGTGGGACGAGAGCCGTTTGGTTGGTTGGTGTTGGGTATGATGAAGGGGCGAGCATCTTGAGATGTGTCAGATGAAAACTATCCTCAAAAATAGAGTTAGTCACCTGTTGAGCACCCTGTTGCTGCTCCATCATCTCCTTTTCTTGCTGAACAATCTTGGCCTCGTCTTCGAGACTAAGTGCCAGCGGAAGGGCTACTAGTAGCGCCGAGGTTGTGAGGACCCAGACGATATTTCCGGCTAATTTTCCACCCCTTTTTATGAAGGAAGCAGTGCTTGAAATGCGAGAGGCGATAGTGTGACGTGTGGTTGGTGGTACAATGTCTACGAGTGCAGCAACACGATCGAAAAAGGACTCGTCAGCAGAGAGCTCTGAGGAGACGGATGACAGAGACGCTGAAGAAGAAGTGCGGTCGTCGTCGTCTGTGAGATACGGGGACGAAGGAGCGTCGACGTCCTTTTCTTCGACAATTTGAACCTTGACCATGTTGAAGTTGAGAAGAAGAGGAAAATTTCGGTGCCGAGATTGTTTTTTGCAGAGGAGTTTCCTAATTTGTATCGAGACGGGACTATATAATTAATTTATAAGATGTCGCCTTCTCCTCCTCTCTTCTCTCATGCACAACGACGTCAATAACATGCAAGACGACCCTAACACCTCAGGTCTGATCACCATCTCTTACTTTCACCTCATCGTTTTCAACGCGTACAAGTCTACCTCCAAAACCAGATCAACGAGTATAACAAAAATCAACCTCCTCCAAGAAAACAAAACACTGCTTGTGATGCTTGCAGGTTCGTTGTTTTTCACTCTTTTTAAATTTATCATGTCCCTCACGCGCACTAGGGCAAGGAAAGTCAAGTGTAATCGTCTGCCTGGCCAGGAAAAGGTGATCTTTCTCTCGTGCACACCTGAATCCCTGCGTTTCTAATCGCGATCTTCTCTCAGTGTCAGGTAATCATCTTCAAATTTATGCCTTCACTCTTTCTTCGCCCTCACAACCGAGCACCAGCATTGTCTAACCAAGAACTACCCTTGCACGTTCGTGTCATATCCAGTCATAGTAACTTTTGGACTCACCAGCACTGCCTACAAACAACAGACATCATATTCAACAAGCCACCAGTGAGAAGAAGCGTAATGCGTCCGTCGTTCGAAGACCTAGGAATTCGAGCTCAGCAGGAGTAACCAAGTTTACTGTCTTAGATCCTTCAAATGCCGTCCTTGGGAGGTTCGCTGAGCCACCATCGCCAAAGTACGCTTCTCCACTTGATTATCATGTCTCTAGGCTGCGCTCTGATAGTTAGCGTCTACTCAGTGGTTCATCTCCCGCAGCCCTGCTGATGTGCGACTCAACAATTCATTTCTCAATCATGGGCGCCTCTAACGTACTTCTAGGTCTCCGTCTATCATGGATAATGGGGGTGCCATGGCACCGCCGCCGATCCCAACTTCCCAAAATATTCCCCTCGAGGTGAAATATGGCTTCCGACCACACATCACGCTCGCAACCCCAACGACAGAGCTTCTTTCATATATTTTTGCGCCACCTGAACAGACCGAGTAAGATGATTATACTTTTTTGAGTGAAAATCGTCTTCGACCAACGTTTTCTGCTTTCTTCTAGAGAAACATACACATTTCCATCAGTACCTGGTCGAAGGCATTCCCTTTATGACGCTTGGGGAGACCAAGCATTTCGACTCGAAGATGATCGCTTCAAGGCTGAGTATGTCTTCATTAAAAATTCATTTCGCGGGCCGTCAGCATCAGAATAATTCCGTCCAGCCAACGCAATCTCCGCATAATGTCATCCTTTGATGCATATTCCCAGTTCTTGTTTCCAGGCTCATAACATCCTTGTTCACTACGCAACCCATCTGACACGGTTTATCATTGACAGATTTACACTGGATCTCGTGGAAGTATTCTTCCAGATTGTTCATACTCGGATCCCCCTCCTTAATCCCGCCCATTTCCGCGAACGCCTTCAACTTGTATCATCTAATGGAAAGGAGCCTTTACATCCTGCTCTGGTTGCAACCGTTCTTGCTTGGGGCTCGAAATTTTCGGAGCATCCATTGCTAGTTGCTGACCGACGACGGCCTGGTCATCAAAGTCTTCTAGCAAAAACGTTAATTGACCGTGCACGCGATCTTGCGGAAGCACTTAAAGTTCACCGAATACCAAAGACGGAACATGTGGTGATAGGGCTCCTTATTGAACCTCTTCAAAGCCGTAAGAAAGATCATCAT